AATAAGTGTGTTTCAGTGGTTGAGCAGTTCCTTTTTTCCCATCAGGGGAGCAGGCTCTGCCTGACCTCAATCTTTCTGTCTTCTTTATTTTCCCGTCCTGTCATCATCCTCCCCACACCCTTCTCCCACGGGAACATCTAGAGCTGCCCTGATACGTGGTAAAGTAGAGATTTACCAAATCCTTCTTGGATCCTATTAATGCCAATAATAATAATAATAAGACTTGAGGTTTTTATTTAGCTGAACAAATAAATGCTAAACAAGAATGGATGCCAGGGATCCTGTGGGGTTCATCTGTTACCAAATATTTACATAAGTTATATTTCAAATTAATTTCAGGTCTTTCCCATATGACTCAGGAACATGCTGAGCCAATGTTACAATATCTAACTTCTTTTTTTCATTGGTACATTTAGATATACACAGACAACATTTATCATAGGGAATTTGTACCTGTCCCTGGTGTATTTTACTTCTTCTGTACCTGTATTTGTACCTGTATTTTACTTCTTCTGTCCTTCCCATCTCCCTTCCCTCCCTTCAGCCCTTCTTCCCCTCTTTACAAAAGCTTTGTTTTCCATTTTCCTTTCTATTCTTTGCTCTTGTCCCTTCTCCACCCCACCTCCACTTTTCTTCTTCTCATTTGAACATTTTCTTTCCATTTCACACTATCTATTATAAATTTTGGTCCTTATTTATACTTTTGGTTGCTAAACACCAGAAAAAACACGTGATATTAACACATGTGAGTCTGATTTATTTCTCTTAAGAGTATGGCTTCAAGGTATATGCATTTGCCTAGAAATGTCTCCAGTTTATCCTTCACTATGGGTGAGTAGTACTCTATTGCACTAAAAAACAAAGCCCACATCAACCTCCAGGAGAATGGCAGAGTGGTGAGCAGCAGAGAAAAGTCCTCTCCGAGCTTTGGTGTCCAGACCCTGGAATACAGCAACGTGAGGAAGAGAAGAAGGAGAGGGGCGGGTTTCATGGACACAGGAAGGATCTGAACTGACACGTGAAGCCGATGGACAGAGATAATTCACGAATTCAGGAAAAATAAGAAAACCAGAGGTGAGGGTCCTGCCAGATGGGGAGAAACATCAAGCAAGCAATGCAGCCCCAACCCTGTGCACCATCAGAGGCCCTACTGGCCAGAGAGAAGCAGCTAGGAAGCCATGTGGCTTCCCTGTGTGCCAGTGGAGGCCCTGTAGCCAGAGGAGAGGCAGCAAGGAGGAGTGCAGCCTGCCTGTGTGCTGGCGCTGTCCCTGTCAGCCAGAGAGGAGGTTACCTCCGCCTCCACTATGTGCCCCCCATCCTCACCTGTAAGCAACTAGACACGACACAGGCTGAGATGATAATAACTAAAGTAGGAAAGTAACCTGACATTTATGTTCTTTGATTGACTTTGCAGGACTGGGGCCGGTACTCTGGGCAACTATTTAGAGGATAAAAATATGCCTATAGTAATGATTATGGATTTTCTACAGTCCTATCACTGTTTTGTTTTGTTTCATTTTACTGTGCTGTTTTACTCCAAGTTAATTTTTAAAACCCATATCTTTATCCATTCATAAGTTGATGGGCATTTGAGTTGTTTCCAAGATTTAGCTATTACAAAGTATGCTGCTATAAACACAGGTGTGCATATACTGCTGTGGTATGATGCTTTTAATTCTTTCAGGAAGTTACCAAAAGAGGAATAGTTGGGTAGAGTGGAACCTCTAGTTTTAGTTTTTTGAGAAAACTTCACACTGATTTCCTCAACGTTTGAGCCAGTCTATACTCCCACCAATAGTGGAAAAAGGTTCCTTTGCCCCTCCCCCGGCAGCCTGGATAGAATTTATCAGTTGATTTCTTGATAACACTCATTCTAAAGTGAAATAGAATCCCAGCATTGTTTTAATTTGCATCTCTTTATTCATCTGAGAAGTATCTATTCATTTCAGGCACCCATTTGTGGATTGGCTCTTTAAATTTGGGTGGTTTGATTTTTTTATTTCTTTAATAAGATATTAGTCCTTTGTCTGAGGAATAGCTGTCAAAAATATTTTTCCTAGTCTATACATTGTTTCTTCACTCTGTTCTTAGTTTCTCTTAATGTGTAAAAGCTTTTTAATTAGATGAGTTCTCAGTTGATTCTATGTGATCATTTCTGTGTGAAGGCTTTGTTTATAAAGTCTTTGCCTACACTAATATAATCTATTCTAGATCCCAGAAGATTTAGTATTTCTGTATTAATATTTATATCTTTCATTCATTTTGATTTTAGTTTAGTACAGGGAGTAGTTTTAATTTTTGGTACATGGAAAGTCAGTTTTTTCCACACCATTTATTAAAATATCTAGCTGTTTTCCAGTGAAGGTGTTTGGCACCTTTGTCGAAAGTAATGTGGTTGAGTCTAGAGTTGTTTCTGTATGTTTATTCAGTTACACTGATCCTCAGGTCTATTTTTTTTTTTTTTTTGCCAGTAACATGCTGTTTTAACACAGTAGCTTTATAGTGTAATTTCAAATCAGGAATTGTGATGCCTCCTGCCTTGCTTTGGTTGCCCAGAATTGTTTTTGCTTTCTAGGTTTTTTCTGGTTCCAAGCGAATTTTATGATTGTTTTCTCTAATTTCTATGAGATATGCTGTTGTGCTTTGTGTTTGCATTAAGTATGTATAGTAATCTTGGAAGTGTGGATATTTTTACTATATTGGTTTTCCTGCCCAAGAACAAGGGATATCCTTCCACTTTCTGATACCCACTTTAATCTCATTTTTCTGAATACTGTGGTTTTCTTTTATTGAAGACAGGGTCTCACTTTATAGTTCAGACAGCCTTTGAATTTACTACATAGCTCTGGCTAGCCTTAAACTCATGGTGATTTTTCTGCCTCAGGCTCCCCAGTGCTGGGATTACAGACATGTACCACCACAACTGGCTCAGAGTAATATAATTTTCAATGTAGAGTTCTTTTACTTCCTTTATCAGATTGATTTCCTATGTATTTATTTTTTCCTTTTAGTTTTTGATGCTATTGTGAAAAATACTGTTTTCCTAATTTTTCTCTCAGTGAGTTTGCTAGTTGTCTACAAGAATGCTATTGAGTTTTGAGCATCAACTTTTTATCCAGCTACCACTGAATTTGGTTATTAAATCTAGAAATATTTTGGTGGAGTGTTTGGAGTCTTATATGTAGAATATCATGCAAATAATGATAATTTAACTTCTTCCTTTCATATCATTATTCCTTTTATTTCTTTCCCTTCTCTAATTACTCTGGCTAAAGTTTCCACACATATTTTATACAAAAGTGACAGTGAACATCCTTGTCCTATGCCTGGTTTCAGAGTCAAAGCCTTCAGTGTTTGACCATTTGCAGTATATGAGTACTTGGCTGTTGGTTTGTCATAGATGACTTTTATCAGTCTGAGATAAAGACTACCTATTCCAATTTCCTGTAGAATTTTTATCCCCTATGTGGGTGTTAGACTTTGTCAAATGCCTTTTCTACATTTATTGAGATGATCATGTGATTGTTGTTTCTGGGTCTGTTAATATGGTGTATTACATTTGTTGATTTGTATATACTGAATCATCACTGCATCCTTGGGATGAATCCTACTTGGTCATGGTGTATAATATTCTTGATGATTTGCTGCATTATATTTTCCAGGATCTTACTGAGGATTTTGCATTTATGTTCATTAGAGTGATTGATCTGTAGTTCTCTTTCTTAGTTGGATCCTCTGGTTTTGGTTATCAGGGCAGTACTTTCTTCCAGGACTGACTCTAAGTGTATTACATCCATTTCAGTTTCATTAAAGAGTTCAAAAAGTAGCAACACTAGATTTTCTCTAAATTTTTTGTAGAATTCAGCAGTAAATCCATCAGGACCTGGGCTTTTATGTATTGGTAGGGTTTTTTAAATTACATATTCAATTTTATTGACTAATGTTGGTTTACTTAGAATTTTTATATCTTCTTGATTTAGCTTTCATATTTCATATGTATCTAAGAATTTATCTATTTCTTCTGTGTTTTCTATCTTACCAGAAAACAAATTCTCAAAGTAAGTATACATGACTTGAGTTTCTGCTGGCTGTGTTGTAATTTCAATCTTTTCATTACTAATTGCTTGGATCTGAGTCTTTCCTTTTTTTGATAAGGTTAGCTAAGTTTCATTAATTTTATTTAATTTTTCAAAGAACCAACTCTTTGAGTCATTAATTCTTTGTATTGTTTTGTTAGTCTCCATTGCATTAATTTTTGCTCTGATCTTTATAATTTACTTCCTCATACAAGTTTTGGTATTGACTTGGTCTTCTTTTTCTAGAAACTTGAGGTTTGACATTAGATTATTTGAGCTTGTCTGATGCAGATATTCAGTGCTATTCCATCATAGGACTGCTTTCATTGATCCATAAGTTCCAGCATGCTGTATTGGCATTATCATTTAATTGTAGAAACTGTGTAATTTCCCCTTTAATTTTATCTGTGGCCCATAGGTTGTTCAGGAGAGTGTAATTTCATTTCCATGTTTTTATGAAGTTCTTATGGTTTCTTTTGCCATTGATTTCCAATTTCTTTGCACTATGTTCCTATAATACTCATGGAATATTTTCAATCCCTTTGCATTCACTTAAGTGTGTTTTATGAGCTAATATATGGTCTATTTTTTGAAGACTGTCCTATGTGAAATTAAGAAAAATGTGTGCTCTGATGTCCTGGGATAGAACACTCTTTAAACATCTACTAAGTCCATTTGTTCAAAAGTTTGGTTCAGTTCTAATATTTCATGGTTGATTTTTTTGTGTAGTTTATCTATTCATAACAAGGTAGTATTGAAGTCCCCCAATACAATTGTGTTCACACTATTTGATTTTTCATGTCTGTTAATATTTGTTTTATACAGCTGGGTGCACTGGTATTTGTTGCATGTATGTTTGTTGTATCTTCCTCTTGGACATTTCCCTTTACAAAGTTGTAGTACTTTCTTGTCTCTCTTGCTCAGCCTTGGTTTGAGGTCACCAAAAGGTTCCTTCCTGTGGGCCACTGGCATGGACAGAGAGAGCTAGAAGACCTGCCTCCACCTGTGAGCTGCAGATAGTAGAAGATTTGCTTCCTGCTAACAGCCAGTGGAAACAGGAACACACAGCCAGGTAAGCCCCATACACCCCACCCACAGGCCATCATTAGAGACCCTTGCTTCCTTCAGGCAGCCATTACCCACTGGGAGAATCAGACAAACCTGTGTGCCTGCGTGTCTGCCACCATCATGGGAGTCCCAGTGCAGACACAGGGTGAGAGAAACAGCCTCCACACCATGCATCCTTGGCCTTTGGGAGAGCCCCAGTGTAGCTGCACAGGTTTGGAGAAATCCACCCCACATCCTGCTTCCTGTAAACCTGGGGTCAGAGGAACACAGGTGCCTATCCCATTCCCCTGGAGGGACAGCCAACATGGGAAGTGTCTGGGATGCCACAACCAGCTTACTGGGAGGAACCCAGGAGAATGTCAAGACAAAGGAACAAAAGGCAATCTCAGACCTCCAGCCCACACGGAACAAGTCTAGGAGATACAGTCATGAAGAAAATGGAAGTCATACCTGAAACCTCTGAGAGGATAACAACTGAAGTAAAAAAACAACTTCATGAGACTGTAAAATTAATCATATCAGAAATAATGTCCAAGTAAAAGAAGAAATGAAAAACATAAAGAATAGTTCAGCATATCTAAAGAAGACAGATAAAAAAAATGAGGAGCACAGCTAAATGATGGAAACCTTGAATGAACAATATAGAAAGAAATTATAATGCATTAAACAAATTTTAAAAAGATATCCCGGAAATTAAAAAGTTGATCAAAAGCTGGCAAAACCACTTGAAAGAGACTGAAGAAAGACCTTCAGACCTTGAAGACAGGATTGCAGCTAGTAATTGTAAAAGGAAAAATCTTTTAAAAATGACAAGGCACCAGGAAATAACAATTCAATGGCTGCAAGATGATGCAAAGAGAAATAATTTGAGTGATAGCTATCATTAAATAAGCAGGGGTCAAGACAAATGACCTAAAAGTGCTATTTGCAGAAGTAATCACAGAAAACTTCCCAAATGTTGGAAGCAAGGCATCTAAGACTCTAATTAGCCATAGCCAAAGTAAATTTACACCTAGCCATATAATAATCAGGATCCCAGAAATTCAGCACAGGAATAGAATCCTAAAAGCTGTTAGAGAAAAGAGACAGATCACCTATAAAAGAAAAACAATCAGAATCATGGCAGACTTGTCAACACAAACCATCAAGCCAAGAAGAGTTTGGAGTGAAGTATTTCAAATCCTGAAAGAAAACAACTTCCAATTCAGATCAATGTACCCAGCAAAACTATCTTTCAAAACTGATGGAAAAATAAGATGCTTCCATGATAATGAACAACTGAAGAAATTCATGACCACCAAACCAACCCTACTAGAACGTGCTAAAGCATCTGCTAGAAATAATAAAGATGACCAGGGTTCCAGGAACAGCAGCAGAGGATTATGACCAAACACAGCAGGCAATTGAATGAAAGGGAAAAGTAGAGGGCCAATAGTAGGAGGATAGCATGGCAGAGACAAAGTATGCTGGTTGTAATCATTAATGTAGATGGCCTCGATTCAGCAATAAAAAGAAACGGAGGGAGAGTGGGTCAAGAAACAGGATCCACCAATGTACTGCATACAAGAAACACATTTAACTTGAAAGGAAATGCATAGACTGAAAATCAAAGGGGAAAAAACAATTGTTCCGTGTGACAGGAGACCAGAAAAAAAAAAAGGGAAACTTGCCCATCAACCACAGAATGGCTAAGAAAGATATGGTATTTTCTTTTCTTTTTTTTATTTAAAGAAAAGGAAACAAAAAAATACATGGAGATTTAAAAAAGGGTAGAAATAGTACAAAATTACAGAAAAACAAATGGTAAGAAATTGCTGGTTGATAAGTTACATATTGTCATCTTAGAAATAGCTGTTCAGGTTACAATATTAAAGTCTTTAGAATGACATTCAAAAAGTGATACTACAAACAGTTCTGCTCAATGATCGAACAAAAACTCAGTAATATGGTTATCAGTCCTACACACTTGTTTTACATCTCAAAGAGGGTAAGATTAAACATATCAAAACAGAACAAAACCGTTAAAAAAACAATTTAAAGAAATACAGATTTCAAAGCAAGTCCACTCGAGATCTTCACTGTCTGTCTCTAGTTTCTTACAAATAGTTGTCCCCATCTTCACCCACTTTATATACTTACTGCATATTATAGAACTAATCAAATCATTACAGGATGATGAAGGCTTTTTAGGTCTTCAAGATCCAACATTAGGGAAGACAATAATAACTACCATCGCATCTCTCATTCTCTTCATGGTAGCCATCCCTATATCTACATATGCTGAAATTGAACTCAAGAGCCAGACCAATGTCATTCTAATCAGCGAACAATAGCGTTGCTAGAATTTATATCATAATGCTACAAAATTAGCATCGGGTTTCTTAGTGTTTCTTCTTCAGAGTATCTGTTCATTACATCTTGCCTTATATAATCTGTTATTGTAAATAATTTTTAAGAAACTCGTGTGAATTTCTACATATATATCTATCCTCTCTGTATTATAGGGAAAACCAAGTCATAACAAGACAGCAAAACAAATTCCTAGAAAAACATGCAATAGATAAGACATATAAGACCACAATATAGATGATCTTCCATAGTTACTATGTTTTCTCTTGTTATTTTCAATAGATTTGTCCACAACACCGGCTTAATATAGTTAAACATAGTATTACCTATTTTTATAAAAACACAACTTTGAAAGCATTGTAGGATTTGAGAGCTGTTAATAGTTAATACCAGTATGGATATCCTTTACATCTTGTCATCATCATAGTAGTTGCCTCTACTTTTAGGGTTGATACTAACAAGCATACCAAATTCAAATAAAATCAGCCATGGCCAACCCATAGTCTTATGATTCAGATTCAATTAAGATCAGTCACAGTAAGACAATGTAAGTAATACAGGATTTCAGTTTAAATTAATAGGAAAGTAAGCATAGTTACCATGGTATAACCTGCTATTTTTGGGTCAGATGTCTGTGCCCTCAAATCTGACATGAGTGGACAGACCAGAACAAATTAAATTCAAACTAAATATGGTGATAAGACTACTGTGTCTTTTAAATCCTGATACACTATTAACAATGACCTCTGCCTTTTTTATAGTGTTTCAGAGCTGTCTATACTAAAGACTATAGCTTACCGTCTCTGCCTCATATCTGCTACTCCACTTTTCTGCTATAATTTGTCCACCTTATTCCCTCATTCCACTGTCTGCCCCGTTCATTGAGGCCTCTCTGCCACTGTTGCTGGAATCCTGGTATCCCTTCCTCTCTTTCTCTGTAATGTTGTTTAGCACTCTCTGTAGGGTTGGATTGGTGGCCACGAACTCCCACAGTTCCTCCTTGTCTTGGAAGCATCTTATTTCTCCATTAATTTTGAGAGAGAGTTTTGACGGGTATATGAGCCTTGGTTGCATATTATTTTCTTTCAGGACTTGGAATATTTCTCCCCATTTCCTTCTTGACTTAAGAGTTTGTGTTGATAAGTCTGTTGTTATTTTGATAATTTTCCCAATGTAGGTAATCTGCTTCTTTTCTCTGGCTGCTTTTAATATTCTGTTCTTTTGGTGGATTTCTGGAATCTTGATTATTATATGTCTAGGCGTAGATCTGTTTTGGTTGTAGGTAGCTGGTGTTCTGTATGCCTCTTTTATCTGGATATCATTTCTTTTTGTTATACATGGGAAATTTTGCTTTAATATATCAGTGAATATTCTTTGTATTTCATTTTTGGTTGCTCCTGCTTCCTCACTCACATTCTTTATTCTTAAGTTATGTATCTTTTTGTCATCTTCTAGCCTTTGAATTGTTTCTTTCTGGTTCCTTGTTATTTTTAAGAGGCTTTTTCTTTCACAATCATATGCCATAAATCTCTCTTCAAGTTTCAGAAGGCTGTCTTTAGTTTCTGTGAAGGCATTTTGCCAGTGTTCAATGGAGATTTTAGTTTCCTGGTAATCTCTTTGGATCTGTTTCATGCATTCTAAGTTATGTTTAAATTCTTCTTCAGAAGTTTCTCTTTCTTTTCTGATTTCCTCAGTTCTTCCATCTGTGTTCTCTTGGACGGGGCTTGTCATTTCTTTAATTAATCTCTTTATATCTTACCTCACTTGGATCAGGAGTACAGCTTTAAATTCATCTATGAGGTCATGGAGGTATTTTTTAATTTCGGCTGATGCTGTGTCGAGTAGTGGATGGTTACTGTGCTTGTTCTCTTCAGTGTTTGCTTCTCCTGGGCTTATTTTCTCATGTTGGGCAGCTGGAGATTTTTTTTTTTTATCTCTTATCATGTTTCTGGATTCTTTCAGACTGGAGTGTCCTGGGGGTCTCTGGCCCTCTCCATATTGCTTAGGGCCTTTCAGAAGCGTGCTGACTTGAGTTTTTGCTGTCCTCCCCAATTTGCTGTTATCTGGGGTAGGCTGGGATGCAGGGGCAGTACAGGCTAGCCTCCAGCCTCTGTGCCAGTCAATCCGTAAATTAGGCTATACTTTCTGGATGTCACTGAGTTGTGACTATTTTGTATCTGCTTGTTGGGCCCCAAGCAGAGGCTTGGTTCAGCCCCAGCAGATCCTACCAGTTCTCTCTGTGCCAGAAGCAGCTGACTAATGTCACCGTGGCACAGGGTTCTGCCCAAATCCCAGCTGTTCTCTTCTAGACCTCTCTGTGATAGGAGCACCAGGACAGCATGTCTGCCCAATTCCAAGATGTCTTCCACTAGTTCTCTGTATGATGCTGAAGCCAGCACGGTGTCACGCTCTGCCCAATTTCAAGATGTCCTCCACCAGACCTCCCTACAGGGCGACTCGGGGTTCTGCCCAACTCTAAGATGTCTTCCTTCAGACTCTCTGTGTTATTGATGTCCCCGTGGTGGCGGGCTCTGCCCAGTTCCAAGATGTTCTCTGGCCAACCCCAGCGGCCACAGGACCCAGTCCCCAGTACTCACCAGGGCTTGGTGCAGGTCTTCCTCTTGGGTCTACTGCACACCATGCCGCTTGCCCTCA